AACCCTGAGCCGGTGAGATTTGAACCGCTGACCTGCTGATCTAGCAGTAGCCTGCAGTGCTGCATTTAACCACTGCGCCACCTTGGCTCTTGGTTGAGCAATCAACCAATGGGCCAGCTTGCCTTCAGAAGTTGTAGATGCTCCATCACTGGAGGTTTTCAAGAAGACTTTGGATAGCCACTTGCCTGAAATGGTATAGGCTGTCATGCTTCAGCAGGGGGTTGGACTAGAAGACCTCCAAGGTCCCTTCCAACTCTGTTATTCTGTTTTAAAAAAAAACTGATCCAACTTTCCGCACGGCCTCCTCAGGCTTCCCAGTCTTCTAACGGCAAGGAATTGTTGCTTGCCCTGTTATGCGCAGCTCCTTTTCGTATTTGCCTGGTGGGGAATATTAAATTGCAACTGCCTTGGGACAGAAGCTCATCTTATTCCGTGTCTTTCAGCACAGAGGCACGCAGACGAAAAGAGAGGGATTTTCTTGACAGGCATAAAAATCGCTGGATCGTTGACAGGAGGGCAGTGCAGAGAGCAGACAGGAGGAAACGAGCCAAGATCAGTGATGAAATCTTGCTTTTACCAAAGGCTTGCAGAAGATAGGAGAGATTAACATTCATCACCAAGCGAGCATGAGACACCCTTGGCAGGGTTTTCCCACCCCGGGTAGAGCTGTAAGTGGAGCCAAGTCCCTGCACATCATGCCCTCGGATCTTCTGATCTCACACTAGTTGTGAATTCGGGAACACACCCAACACCCCAAGATGCAGACCTGCTTTGGGGGGTGGGGGGGGAATGCAAACTCTTCAAAGCAGAATTCCTTCGGCAGGAACCACCACCCCAGCCCGGGTTCCGTTTCAGCTTGTTTCATTCCACCCATAAAGCAGCAAAACAGCCTCCAGGTGCCACTTCAAGGCTTTTATAGGCTTGGCCTAAAAGTGGCGGGGCTGAACGAAATGTCTTCTCTCTCTAAGCCAATGTTTGCCAACGGCAGCAGCATTACGCTGTGTGGACTTCAACTCCCAGAATTCTCCAGCTAGC